TATTGTTTGTTTACAAGAGATGGTGGGGGGGCCTCATGGTTCTAGGTTGGCTACCAGTCGCCTGGAGGAGGGGGTGTTTTATTCATAGGGGACAATGAAACACCCATCCCCGACGGGGAAGAAAGGGGTGGAAGGAGAATCGCTTTAAACCTCCTACGCCCAGAGGGCTGGCGGGACGTCTCAGAAGGTTTGGGGGTTTCTCAGCCTTCTGAAAAGGCGCGCCCCTTCTTTCAAGCATTGGCGAAGCTTCCCGGCTCGCGCCTATAGGCCCACCCAAAATGTTATAATAACCTTTTTTTTGTGGTCTGCGTGACACGTTCTTAGAACAGTTCTGACTGTGACTGTTTCGGTTTAGCACACCGGGTTTATAGTACAAGAACCTTGTTGTTGATTTTAGAACAGTTTGGAGGTCTACGAACATGTCGTGGTAGGCTTCTAGGGATGCTGGGACGGTCGGTCCCTGCTCAATTCTCACTTCCCCCCCTCTCGTTCGCCTCCGATCTGCGCCGTGTGCCACGCTGGCGGCCAGAGCGCAATCCGCGGCGCAAGGCCGCCGGACCTTCGCACGTAAGGCCCGCCTCTTGTCTCGTCGCTGGGGTGTTCCCTCGGCGCTCCGAGCGACTTCGTCCGTGGTGCTCCGCGGGTGGCAGGCCTGCAGCGAGGCCACCTGCAGGGCCCGACCAGCGAGGACACACACGACTCGCCAAGCCGTGCTGCTGCTTGCGGAGGAGGAAAAGATGCCGATGCCGCTGCTCGTCCTGGAGGAGTCCTTGTGGCCACGGCCGGATTCTCCTCGATGTTCTGGTCGGGCACAGCAGAAGAGGTCCGGGGAGCAGCGGTATCAGTACTTCTGTGTTCCCCCATGTGCGTTCCCGAGGCGCTCCCAGGTGTGCCCACTCGTGCCCCCGGCGCTGTCCCCAGCGTCGCGGTGATCAGGCAATGCAGCCGCTAGCCCGGAGGGGGCACTTCAGAGGACCGCCATGCAGCCAAAGGTGTACCCGGCTTTTCGTTTCCTTTTCGAGCCCCCGGGGCCTTCTTGGCCTCCTGAGGAGTGCTCTCGAAGGACGCCATCTGGGCATACTACCCGGAAATCCTGGGGACACCACGGGCCAGGGACACGTTGGGCAGCTTTTCGGCTACACGTGAGAGCGACCTTTCGCCAGAGTGACCTGTGGTGCGGGCCCGCTCGGGCTCCCCGGTCTTTGAGTGCGATGCGATAGCGGCGGCTTGCGTGCATGGTGGTGTCCCCGAAGGGCCCTTCCTGTGGGCCGCGCACCATAGGGCGACGAGATCTATGCATATCCACTGCTCCTGGCCAGGCCCATCCTGGGCCCAGGAGCTGTATATATGCCTCCCTGGCCAGGCCAGGAGGGCGTATACACCGCTCCTGGGCCCAGGATTGGCCTGGCCAGGAGCAGTGGATATGCATAGATCTCGTCGCCCTACACCACAGGTCACTCTTGCTCAGGGCCGCTCTTGCGTGTAGCCGGACACCCCACGCGCGGCGTGCTGCAGCAGTCCGTGCCTCGGGCCTCCGCGCTGTGCGCGTCGGCGCTGTATCCAGGGTCGCCGAGCCTCCCTGGGCAACCGCACGGGCAGTTGTGGACAGCGGGGGTCCCACCAAGCCACCTCCAGCCCCGCCGTCCGTGCTGAGTCTTCCACGCACAGAGGGGGGTAGGGGGAGGGGGAGAGGCTTCTTAGAAGGACCCCTGCTTCTCAGACGGCGCAGCCCTGAGCTAAAGATGTAAAGCTCGCGCCTTATAAGAAGGAGCCTCTTTCTAAGAAGCCTCCCCCCCATTCCCCTACCCTCCTCTGCGCGCCGCCATCCTGGCCGAGAGGGAGGGGGGAACAATGAAGCAGGGTGCGAATTGGAGCCGTCCGGGAGTCGGACGTGGCTCAGCACTGGTTCCAGCCAGCAGAAAAAGGCGGGCGGGTTCAAGGTTTTGGGTTCGGGGAGGTGTGCTGCCGTTTTCGGCCTCCGGAGGCCGTTTTCAGTGGGTCAGGTGATGCAGCATCGGCATAAGATTCAGGTGTCGGCAGCAATGGGAGTGCTTGCGCGATCATCTTCTACTGTAGCCCCTCGTTTCTGTCAAGATTGACCCCCCCAAGGAACCTCAGTGGGGGGTTCTCCAAGTCGAATCGTTCCCGCTCCAAGCAATTACGTACGTCACGGACTCGGCGCGTCTCTGGGATTTTCGAGGGTGTGCGCAGCGTGTTCCCGCAGAGCCCCGCCGGAACACGCTGGAGTCAGTCCGTGCCCGTTGAGATTGAACACCCTCAGCGGCACATGGGCTTCTCAGGAGCAGGAGGCTGGCAGAGAGGCGAGACATCCTGGTCGAACCATGTATAACAGCAGTGGAGGAAGAGATGGAGAATTCGGACACGTAGCGCTACAAAGTTTACGGGCCCCATGGGACCGTAAAAAACGGACCTGGGGTGAACAATTGCACCAGATGGACGCCAGGAGGGGTCTGGAGACCGATTTTGACCAGGGTTGGCCTCATCCCCTCCTCTGGACAGATTTTCTGAGGTCCCAACCAGTTCAGACCCTCCCTCTGGCTCCCAAATTGCGGCATACTGCCACCGCGCTGTGACATTGCAAAGGTACGCGTTGTGATTCAGATTGCGTCGTTGACGCTAATGTTGACAGGTTCAAAAGTAGACCTGGGGCCATTCCGCCTCGGAGACCAACATCACGCGGAGTTCATTGATTGTGATCAGCGGCGCATGCTTGACGGTTGATCGCGCGTCCCATCGAGGGTGCGCATGCCGCCAGGAAGTGCGCAGACGGTTCGAGGCGCAGCTGAGCAGGGTGGTTGCAGACAAGGGCATGCTTGAGCTCCCTGCCAGCCTGAACTCCTTCGAACGTGCAATGGCCCATGAGGTACGGGGAGCCCCCCGGCTTTGCCCGTGTCGCCCTCATCTTTGGTCCCGACCACCAATCGCCAGCCATTATTCTCTGATTTGGTCAGCCGAGAGAGGATTTCGCCAACTTGCACCGCGAAGGGAACCGCGACAGCGACCAAGCGAACGGCTAGCGATTTCACACCGAACAAAACGCACACAGGCCATCCACTTTGACAGTCGATTCTCGCGTATTCCCCAAACGGTCCCTGCACTTAGAGGTTTTCGTTTCTCTTCCTTGAGGGTACTTGGTGGAGGAGGAGGAGGAGGAGGAGGAGGAGGAGGAGGAGGAGGGGAGGAGGAGGAGGAGGAGGAGGAGGAGGGGGGGAGGAGGAGGGAGGAGGAGGAGGAGGGAGGGAGGAGGAGGAGGAGGAGGAGGGGAACAAGAGGAGGGGGAGGAGGGGGAGGAGGAGGAGGAGGAGGAGGAGGAGGAGGAGGAGGAGGAGGAGGGGTGGGTACTCTGGGCTTTCGCACGTTGCGGCGCGTGCCGCCTCGTGGGCGCCTCGTGCTGGCGCCCCGCCCCTTGAGGAGTATCTGCCGAGGTGGCGCGCCCCGTGCGCCAGCAGGGGCGGTCTGCCGAGGCGGCGCCACACTGCCGCCTCGTGGGCGCCTCGTGGGCGCCCCGTGCGCTTGGGAGGTCTGCCGAGGTGGCGCCACGTCGCCGCCTCGTGGGCGCCTCGTGCTCGGCGCCTGCGCGGCAGCTTTCACCGCGCAGCTCGCACACCACTCAGCGGCCACCTCCAGTGCACACCGCCTGGCTCACACGACCTGGCTTGCACCACCTCGCGTGCGTCGCATTGTGTTGAAGCCCCCAGTTCGCATCGCATCGCTTACCCGACATAGCGTTCGCCACACAGTTTATACAACTGCTTTCACCTCCACAGAGCAATCAAGCACTCTTGGGGGTCCGCATTAGCCACCATACGTGTTTGCACCAACCTTGCTATACAGGCAATTCCATCTCGCGACTTACGGTGCCACATGGGCGCCACGCAACTGCATAGTTTGAAGTTAGTTGTGGCAAGGTCGCTTGAGTAATGCTACATGGGACACTTCTACCGCCGCCCCTCACCCCCAGCCCCTTCCCAACCCACCCGCCACCCCGGTCCAGTGCGTTCCAGCGTTCATGGGTCACGGTCAATACGCGATAAGCTTTTACGCGCGCCAGTTTCATCAGCGGTCGGAAACGAGTCCTGGATTAGTTTAAGTTGGCCAGAAACATACAGCGACGCATGCGATCCAAGCACATCTGTTAGCATTGCGCAGTTGTCTGCAAGTGACAAACTTCCGAGTAACAATTATGATGTTAGCGGCTGCCGTCCAAAATATGTTCATTCATTGATGTCGAAGTAGTAAATTCTAAGAAGTGCGATCGCTGCAGATCTGTGCCTCTCTTTGAGAGCCCCCTCTTCGATGTTGTCCAGCGCTTCTTCGGCAGGTTCTACGACGCTAGTTCAGCTGTGAACTTCCATGCACCCGGGTAGGGCTTTCTACGCAGGGCTGGCCCATGGCCCAGCGTTTGGTCAATAAGTGGCCGAAAGTTGACCGAGGCTTCTTAGGCTCAACCGGGCAGGTGACTCTAGCGGAGGGCTGCTCCTGTACTCCTGCTCCAGCAGACCAAGTAAGCCATTTACGCACCTTGCCTCCGCACGAGTGTGAATATTTCCACTGCGGTTGATGGCATGATTCCCCCTTTCTTTATCCTCCTCCTACAGCAGGCGCACCAAAGACGAGATCGGCTGGCCAGCAGGTGGCCCACCGAAATGTCTTGTCCCTCGATGGCACCGGAGCCCCACAGAAGTCCTGAGGCCCCTTCTATAGGGCCCTGAAGCATCGGCGAAGAATGTGCCCCAAGATCTCGCATAGGAAGATGTCGCACCGCATGTGTCTACAGTTTTCCTCCTGAACACCCCACCCCCTCGGGCGAAGAGAAATATGCACATGCACCGATCCTGACAACGTCCATCCTTGACCCAGGATCGGTGCATATGCCTTCCTGGCCAAGGTAGGAGGGCATATGCACCGATCCTGGGCTCAGGATGGGTCTGGCCAGAATCGGTGTATGTGCATAGTTCTTTTTCCTCTACCCCCCTCGTAGCAATTTTGGCTCGAGTGATTGCGGCATCAGCGCCAGTGGGCGCAACAGGGACGCCGCAGGCGCGCTCAGCAACGCCGGCGCTGCGTCGCCCTCGCGTCGGGGGCGGCTGGGGGCGGCTCCCATGGCGCGGGGCATCCGCCATCCCCCGAACCTTCAGCGTGTGTGCCTCCTGACAGCGGCTCTCAGGAGAGACAAAAGGCATCCGGGTATCCATGCCCCTCTGGGGAACACGCGTCGCCGGGGCTGGAGCCGCCTCGGAGGTCCCAGGCAGAACGCACCCCGGGAGAGGTCCGGGAGGTAGAGGCAGCAGTGTTTTGGGGGGTCCCCCAGGCTCCCTGGAAGAAGTACGTTGTGGGAGCAGTCATTGTGGCTCTGTACGGCGCTTCGATCAACCGGTGGGCCAAGACTCAGGGGGAGCCTTACCAGTGGGCGCTGCAGGAGCAGAAGCGCCTGGTGAAGGAGAAAGCGACGAAGGCCAGGGAGGAGGGCGTGACGTCCACCGCGGAGCGCAAGGAGACCGAGCTGGACATCGACTACGAGTCGTTGCCATCGGAGTGGCTGCCCGACATCTGGGCGTGCGCGCTGATCGCCCTGACCGTCAGTCTGCACATCTTGTTTCACCTCATGTGCCACTGGTTCATCGGGTTCAAGGCTGCGTTCCTCTTTGAGCCCACCAGCACAATCCGAGCGGGCACGTGGGTACTGCTGAACCCGAAGGCCAATAAGGGGAAGGCAGATATATGCTTGGTGTCGGAGTCGGAGGTGACGCTGAAATTTCATTTCACGTTCCAGTACCAGGCGTATGAGTGTGTCGATCCTGGAGAGGATGACCCTGAACTCACTGGAGACGTAGATGACTACGGGGTCCGCCTCATTCAGTGCCCTGTGAATTTGGGATGGAAGACGTATATGAGTTCCGTGGGCCTCAGGACAGACACGGAGGTGGAGAGAGCGCAGGACAGGTTCGGCACGAACGTATTCGAGTTGCCCAGGCCGACTTTTATGCAGCTTTTCCAGAAGCAGTTGATGGCACCGCTGGCCATATTCCAGTTCTTCTGCACTGCGCCGTGCTTAGATGAATTGGGTAAGCGCTAAAGGCAATCATATGTTCGTTTCCAACGATGCTGGTGCTCCCGCATCTGACTCCATCTTTGCCCCGTTGTCATGAACACGCATTCGATGTATGTTTCCGTTTTTTGTGATGTGTCCGTCTTGATGTGTCATTTGTTTCAGGATGGAGCGTGTTGGCCTCGTTATTTGTTTCAGGTCCCAGGGGCTTGGAGTTATTGCCTCTTGCTTCGTGTTCACACTCCGCTGCCTCATTACATGTTCCTTGCTCGTGTTCTGTTCCCGTGAGTCCCCGAGGTCCCTGTAGTTAATGAATCAGTGATATCGCGCTTTCAACGCCAATTAAGGCGCTCTGGATGCTTGATTCTTACTGGAAGCACACCTGCATGACGCTTGTGTCCGTGGTGGGGTTCGAGGCTTCCACCGCCATGCAGCGCCTGAAGTCCACGACGACGCTGCGGGGCATGGGCACGAAGAGCTACTCCGTGTACGTCTACCGCCAGCTGGAGTGGCACGAGAAGCCGATCGAGGAGCTGCTCCCGGGGGACCTCGTGTCGCTCTCCATGGCCAAGGCGGAGGCCAGCGAGGAGGCCAACCGGGCGGCGGGGCAGCAGGGCAGCAATACGAAGCCGGACGGCAAGAGCCTCACGGTGCCGTGCGATTGCCTCCTGCTTTCGGGCAGCGCCATCGTCAACGAGGCAACCCTCACCGGCGAGTCCGTCCCGCAGATGAAGGACGCGATCCCGGCCGACGCCGGCGACAACGATCGGGTCGATGCGTTCGGGAAGCATAGGATCCACGCCCTCTTCAGCGGCACCTCCCTGATACAGGTCACACCGACTCAGAAGGCCCTGGAAGGCGGCGCCAAGGAGTGCAAGGAAAACGCGCGGTGGTGCCCGCCCGACAACGGCGTGGTTTGCTACGTTATGCGCACGGGCTTCAATTCTTCCCAGGGCGAGCTGATGCGGATGATCGAGTTCTCCTCCGAGGACGTTGGCGCGGATACGATCGAGACGTGCCTGCAGCTGGGGTTCCTGCTGTTCTTCGCTCTCGTAGCCGCTGGCTACGTCCTGAAGAAAGGTCTGGAGGATCCCACGAAGCCGACGTACAAGACGCTTCTGAGATGCATCCTCATCATCACCAACGTGGTGCCGCCTTCGCTGCCGATGCAGATGGCCTTCGCAGTGCACACGGCGCTGGCTGCATTGCTGAAGACGGGCATCTTCTGCACAGAGCCTTTCCGGGTGCCTTTCGCTGGACGTATCGGCTATTGCTTCTTCGACAAGACAGGGACTCTCACGTCAGACCAGATGGTTGCAGTGGGGATCGTCAGTGCAACCTCTGGCAAGCAGGCCGAGAAGGGCGCCGCGGTCAGAGACCCGAAGCCCTGCAAGGAGGCCTCCACGATGGCGGCGGTTGTGGTCGCTGGGTGCCACTCGCTCATTGAGGTGGACGGCAAGCTCCTCGGGGACCCCATCGAGATCGCCGCCATGAACAGCGTGTCTTGGAGTTTCGTCCCGGGCACCGCCACGGCGTCGCCAGGCCCCTGGAGGGCGCGTGAGATCTTCGTCGAGAAGCAGAAGGATATCATGAAGTCGCTCCGAGACGACGTCGAGGCCGACAAGAAGGAGAAGGAAGAGATGAAGAAGAAAGTCGAAGAGCTCGAGAAGACTATCCGACAGGAGAAGCAGGAGGCGAAGAAGCTTCAGGTTGTGATCCAGCAGCGCTTCCACTTCTCCTCCGATCTGCAGCGCATGAGCACCATATGTAAGTTGAGCTCGTCCAACTCCACCGTGGCGCCAGGCACATACTGCCTCACGAAGGGCTCTCCAGAGGCCATTGGCAGGATGCTCGTGTCCAAGCCAGACTGGTACGATGCCACCTACACCAAGATGGCCGAAAAGGGCCAACGTGTATTAGCACTGGCGTACAGACACTTGGGGACCGATGCCAAGACGTCCCGGGACGCGGTAGAGAAAGAGTTGACGCTGGCCGGGTTCATCTCGTTCAAGTGCGAGACCAGGAAGGATTCCATGCTGGTCATCAAGTCACTGCACGACTCGGCCCACCGCTGCGTGATGCTGACTGGGGACGCGCCACTGACAGCGCTTAGTGTTGCTGGCGAGGTCGGCATTGCGCGCCACAGCTCCAAGAAGGCGCTGGTTCTGTCGGAGAAGGACGACGGGGCCTTGGAGTGGGCGCCCGCCATCACCTCGGGCAGCGATGCGCTCGCCCCCGTGGCGTTCTCTCCCGCGGGGTTCGAGAGCCTCGCTGAGGAGCACGACCTCGTGATCACCGGCCGGTCTTTGGAGGTGGCCATGCAGCGAGACGATGCCGAAGCCGTGCAGGGCAAGCTGTCAGCAGTGCGCATCTTCGCGCGCCTGTCCCCCGCGCAGAAAGAACAGGTGATCCGCGCCGTGAAGGTCAGCGAGAAGACCTTCTCTCTGATGTGCGGTGACGGCGGCAACGACGTGGGCGCCCTCAAGGAGGCCGACGTGGGCGTCGCGCTGCTCAGCGGCTTCGGGAACGCCAACGTCGACCAGGACGCCAGCTCCGACGACAAGCTGGCCAAGCTGCAGGACCTCAAGGACGCCGAGGAGGAGCTGGAGAAGCAGCGCAAGGAGAATGGGCAGAAGGCGCAGGCAATTGCCAAGAAGGCGAACGAGGAGATGGCGCGCAAGCGCAAGGACCTGATGTCCAGGCAGCAGCAGTGGGTCGAGGAAGAGCTGGCTGCCCGAAGGGCGCGCGGAGAGGACACCGGCATAATGGCCCAGATGAGTGCCATGAAGTCTGTGATGGGCCGCATCCAGGCCGAGCTGAAGAAGGAGCAGGAGATGATGCAGAAGAAGCACGGCAACGCCTTCGCAGCGAGCGCCGCGAAGCAAGCAGAGGGGTTAGACATGATGGAGGACACTCCCATGGTTCAGCTCGGTGATGCCTCTACGGCCGCGCCCTTCACGACGCGCACGCCGTCGATCAGCTCCTGTGTGGACATCATCCGCCAGGGTCGCTGCACGCTGCTGTCGGCCGTTCAACAGATGGAGATCATGATGCTGGAATCGATGATCTCAGCATACACCATGTCGACCATGTCTGTGGACGGCACACGCTCCTCTGAGGCCCAAATGATGGCCAGCACCATGCTGCTGATGGTGGCCACCCTGGCATTCTCGTTCGCGAGGCCAGTGGACCGGATGCACCCTGTGAAGCCTCTCGCGTCCGTGTTTCACCCCGCTATCTTGTTCAGCTTCTTGGGGCAGCTATCCATACACCTCATCACCATGGTGTACATGGCAGAGCTCGCCAGAAACGCCATGGGCGAGGAGGCCGTGCAGGCCGTTATCGAGTTCGAGAAGGAACGAGACAAGAAGATAGAGAGCTTGGACGAGGAGGCGATGTCACAGTGGAACTGGTTCCTGTCTGTACCCTTCAAGACCAATTTGCTGAACACATGCTGCTGGCTGATTCAGACGTCCCAGCAGGTGTCGGTGATTTTTGTGAACTACAAGGGGAGACCGTGGATGAAGGGCCTCTTAGAAAACCAAGCACTATTCATGTCGCTGTTCCTGAGCATTGTCATGGTGGCTGTTTGCGCCTGGGGCACCTTCCCTTGGTTCAACGAACTCCTGAACCTGGAGGTGGTCCCCGAGGAGCTCAGGTGGCAGGTGATGGCCTCGCTGTTTGCGTCCCTGATTGGCTCCTTCGTCTGGGACAGGCTGATGATGTTCGTATTCTCCCGCCAGATCTTCGACGCGACCTTGCAGGAGGCGATGTCCACGAGGCCTTCGGATTTCATCCCGCTCTTGAAGACGGTGGCCAGAAGCACAGCGATCGGGCTGGGAGGATGGGGTCGGGAGAGTGGACTAACTCATCCGTATGCCCGCGTACATGTAACGTGCCTACCCCACCGTCGTACCCTGCATCTTCCCAAAACCCTTCCTCCCAACACGACAACTGTCTTTCTCAGGTGGGCTACATCCTCGGTGGCCTGTTCTTCCTCGGTTCCGGCAACCCGATCCTGTGGGGCCTCGGCTACATGATGTACCGGAACTACAAGAAGGCAAACGATCCGGCCGCCGCGGGCGGCGCTCCCGCCGCCGCCGGGGCGGCGAGGCCCGCTTGAGCAAGGGGCAGCGACAGGTGAGCGCTGCAAAAAAACGGTGTCGTCCGCGCCGACGTTGTCGCGTAAGGTGCCCGCGTATGCTCGCGCGTAAGCGCCCTCGCCTCCGATGCGGCGTGCTGCGACGGCGACCCGCGTAAGCCGCCGCGCAAGGTCGCCGTGTCATATCTCGCGTAAGAAGGTGGAGATAGGCATCGGGGGGGATGCATTGACCCGGAACCGCCCATCGATCGCCGATAGGGGCCCGACAGCCCCAATCTGCCCAGGACTGTGCGGCTTCGCCAACTATCGAGGGCCTGTCGCCGATCTGTCGGCGATGTATCGGCGATTTCAGGCCGATGTTCCCCCGCTATGCCAGCCTCCCCCCCCCTTATCGTTGCCCCTCATTGAGGTGCCGCGGTTGCACTGGCCCCCAGTCTCTCCAGAGAGGGGAGGCTTGGCAGGCTTGGATCTCGTCCACCTCGCGCGCTTTGGCGGCTGAGAGGGGCGAGGGCTGCCGAGGAAGCCACGATCAGCTCGAGCAGCGACGGGGGGCCCTTCGCATGAGAGGCGGGCGGGAAGTGTTGAATATACATCGTTGCGTGATTTCCGGCCAGGAGCCAAAGCTTCGGGTCCGTTTTGGAGGTCGCCGCGGCGATCGTGGCGGCCACAAATCGGGGCAAGGTTTTTGTCAGGTTGCGGCATGCCCCTTCCCAGCCCACCCCCCGCTCTGCGATGTAGACGTGGTCCATAACCAACAGTACAGCGACAGGGAATTGTCAATCCAACATGGGCAGTCATGTGTTTTTGGTTCGGGATCGGTTATCACGCAACCGATACGTTGGGGGCGCTGGTTAGGGGATGGGCCCGTGATGCGTCAGACCCTGGAAGCGTTCATTATCTGATGAGGGCGGTGGCGACACCCATGGCCTAGACTCCATTGGAGCTCCAACTCCTTTCAGACCCTGAAATCTTAATCTCGAAAAGAGAACTGCCATAACCATAAATTTTTGGCGCTCCGCGCGGATTTCTTGGATTCACGCTGGGCCCCCCATCGGCGCGCTCCGCGCGCCATGGAGGAGGGTCCAGCGCGGATCCAAGAAATCCGCGCGGAGCGCCACAAGTGTATGGTCTCAAAGATCCTGTGTCATGATTTGTTATATGCGGGGCCCCCGGAAGCCCCGACCCATTGCCCAGGACCTGTGTTCCATCCTGAATTGTTTTTCGACGGTCCCGGGCCTGGCGAGGTCCCCCAGAGGCCGAAAGCTGCGAAAAACCTGCGCCTTGATGTTTGCCCGTCTGTTGGATCTTTGGGTTCATGGCGTTTCACGTTTTTTTTGTATGTTATTTAAAAAAGTGGGGTGCGGCAGTTCGGCCAGCCCCTCCTGAAACCTTCTTGAGAAAGGTTTTAGGAAGGTGTTTTGGAAGGTTCCAGGAATCCTGGGACCTCCCTGGGAAGGTTTTAGGAAGTTTTCTCGGAAGGTCCCAGGAATCCTGGGACCTTCCTGAGGAAGGTTTCAGGTAGGTTCAGGAAGGTTTTTCCAACGACCTTCCAAACACCTATCACACACCATCCAAAAACCTTCTTAGAACCTTCCAGCATGTAGCGAAACTACCAAAGACATTCCAAATACCTTCCAAAAGCCTTCCCAGACACTATATATATAACTTCCAAAAACCTGCCAGAAAACCTTCCAACAATCTTCCACACCTTCCCCCCCAAAAAAAAACAACCTCCAACAACCTTCGTAAAACCGTCAAAAAAACATCCAACAAAAAGCGGTCCTAAGACCTTCCTCCAAAACGTTCCAGGAGGGGTTGGCCCAAAAACCTTTCAAAAACCTTTCTGAGGAAGGTTTTAGGAAGGTGGTTGGGAAGGTTCCAGGATCCCTGGAGCCTTCCTGAGGAAGGTTTGAGGAAGGTTTTTTGGAAGGTCCCAAGAATCCTGGAACCTCCTGGCGGAACGGTTTTGGAAGGTTTGTTGGAAGGTTCCAGGAGTCCTGAAACCTTCCTGAGGAATGTTTTAGGAGGGTTGTTGTTTGAAGGTTCCAGGAATCCTTGAACCTTCCGGAGGAAGGTTTTGGGAAGGCTTTTGGAAGGCGTTTCCAACAACAAACTGCCAAACAACTTTCCAACAGCTTTCCAAACAACTTCCACAAACCTTTCAAACAACCTCCTAAGAACCTTCCAGAACACCTTCCTCAAACCGTCCAGCATTTAGCGAGACCGCCCAATGCATCCCAAAAACCTTCCAACAAACCTTTCAAACACCTCCCAACAACCTTCCAAACAACCTACCAAACAACCTTACAAACACCTTCCAAGCAAACTTCCAGAAACCTTCAACAACCTTTAGAAAACATGTCAAACACCTTGCCAAACCATTTCTCTGGGAAGTTCCAGGAGGGGTTGGCCCAATAACCTTCCACACGCCTTCCGGAGGAAGGTTTTTGGACGGTTGTTATGTTATTGTTTTCCACTTTCCAGGGATCCTGGAGCCTTCCTGAGGAACGCTTTAGGAATGTTGTGTGGAAGGTTCCAGGAATCCTGGAACCTTCCTGAGGAAGTTTTGAGGAAGGTTTTTTTTGGAAGGTTTCAAGAATCCTGAAACCTGCCGGAGGAAGGTTTTAGGAAGGTTTTGTTTTGGAAGGTTCCAGGAATCTCGGGACTTTCCTGAGGAAGGTTTCAGGAAGGTTTTAGGGCCGTGTGTTTTGTGTGTGTGGTTGTTTTTTTTTCCAACAAGCTTTCAAACACCTCCCACAACACCTTTTTTTCGACAACCGTCCCAAAAAAAAAAAAACATGTCAAACACCCTCCAAAAACCTTCCTACAACCTTCCAGCATTTAGCGAAACCGCCCAATACATCCCATCAACCTCCCAAACACCTCCCAACAACAACCTTCCAAAACCACCTTCCCAAAACAAAAACCAACGACTTGTCAAAGCAACCTTCCAAAACATCTTCCAACGCACCTTCCAAACAACCGTCCAACAACCTTCAAAACAAAACGGCCAAACAACCTTCCAAACATCTTCCGGCAACCTTCCTCAGGGAGGTTCCAGGGGGGGTTGGCCCAAATAGCTTCCAAAAACCTTCCCGCGGAAGGTTTTAGGAAGGTTTTTTTGAAGGTTCCAGGAATCCTGGATCCTTCCGGAGGAAGGTTCTAGGACGGCTTGTTTTGAAAAGGTTCCAGGAATCTTGGAACCTTCCTGAGGAAAGTTTCAGGAAGGTGTTTTGGAAGGTTCCAGAAGTCCTGGATTCTTCCGGAGGAAGGTTCTAGGAAGGTTGTTCGGAACGTTCCAGGAATCCTGGAACATTCCTGCTGGAGGTTTGTGGAAGGTTGTTTGGAAGGTTCCAGGAATCCTGATACCTTCTTGAGGAATGTTTTAGGACAGGTTTTTTTTTGGGGGGGGTTCCAGGAATCCTGTTGCAGAGGCTCTCAATACGAGACCTTTTGTATGGGCTCTCAACAATAATTCTTTCGTGTTGGCTTTCAATAAAAGTCCTTTTGTAGAGGCTTTCACTCGGAATTCGACGTAGAGGCTCTCAATGGGAATCCTTTTGCACAGGCTTCCAATAGGAATCCATGTGTATTGGGTTTCAGTCGGAATCCTTGTGTAGAGGCTTTCAATATGAACCCTTTTTGGAATCCTTGTGCAGAGCCCCTCAATAGGAATCCTTCTGTAGAGGTTCTCAATAGGATTTTTTGGTGGAGGCTCTCAACGGGAATCATCTTGTAGAGGCTCTCAATAGGAGTCCTTCGTGTCGGCTTCCAATAGAAATCCTTCTGTAGAGGCTCTCAATAGGAAGCCTTTTTCGTATGGGGCTCTCAATAGGAATCCTTGTGTATTGGCTTTCGATACGAATCCTTGTGTAGAGGCTCTCAATCGGAATCCTTCTGTAGAGGCTCTCGATCGGAAACCTTTTTTTGCACAGGCTCTCAATAGGAAATCATGTGTATTGGGTTTCAATATGGCTGAGTACTGGGCGTTGTCTCGGAGACAGAGGTTGTTGACACTACAGGGTGTTGTCTTGGAGACGGAGACAGTTGAGTACGGGGTGGTGCGTGCTATAAAGAAGGCGAGCCGGCGGGCGGGCGGCGAACCGCCGCCCGCCCGCCCGCCTTCTTTGTAGCACCCACCACCCTGTACTAAACTGCCTCCGTCTCCAAAACAACACTCTATAGTCAACGGCTTCCGTCTCCAAGACAACACCCAGTATTCAACAGGCTCCCGCTGCAAGAGAAAAGCATTAAGGAGTCTACTAAAATCCCTGCCCGCCCGCCCGCCCGCCCGCCGCCCGCCCGCCCGCCCGCGCTCTTCGTAGCACGCACCACCCTGTACTCAATTGCCTCCGTCTCCAAGACAACACCCTGTAGTCAACAGCCTCCGTCTCCAAGACAACGCCCAGTATTCAACAGGCTCCCACTGCAAGAAAAAATCAGTTAGGAGTCTATAAAATTCCCCGCCCCCCCCCCCCCCCCCCCCCCCCGCCGACGGCTCCCGCCCGCCCGCCGCCCGCCCGCCGGCTCGCCCTTTTTTGTAGCACGCACCACCCTGTACTCCACTGTCTCCGTCTCCAAGACAACACCCTGTAGTCAACAGCCTCTGTCTCCGAGTCAACGCCCAGTACTCAACCCTAGTGAAACCCAATACACATGGCTTCCTATTGAGACCCTGTGCAAAACGCTTCCGATTGAGAGCCTCTACAGAAGGATTAATATTGAGAGCCTCTATACAAGGATCCCCATTGAAAGCCAATACACAAGGATTCCTATTGAGAGCCCCTACGAAAGGCTTCCCATTGAGAGCCTCTACAAAAGGATTCCTATTGGAAGTCAATACAAAAGGATTCTTATTGAGAGCCTCTTCAAAAGGATTCCCATTCAAAGCCTCCACGAAAGGATTCCTATTTGGATCCTTTACAAACGGATTCCTAGTGAGAGCCTCTACAAAAGGATTCCTACTGAAAACCTCTGCAAAAGGATTCCTATTGAGAGTCTCTACAAAACTTGATTTTTATTGAAAGCCTCTACACAAGGATTCCTATTGAAAATCAGTACACATGGATTCCGATTGAGAGCTTGTGCAAAAAAAAGGATTCCTGGTGAGAGCTTCTACAAACATATTCCGATTGAAAGCTTCTACACAAGGATTTTATTGAAAGCCAATACAACAGGATTATTGAGAGCCCATACGAAAGGTCTCGTATTGACAGCCTCTACAAACATTATTCTGGCGAAGGACCCAACCATGAAGTTCCTTTTGGGGCAACGAAGCGCTGCACTGTGTGGGGGGGGCGCTGTACTGAGCGGGTGGTATGCCAAATTGGGTTTCGTGGACGCACGCGGACGCTCCCACTGGGCGTTTCGGTGGAGCTTCCTATGGGGCCACAAAACGTTGTAATGGGTGTGTGAAAATGCCACATTGGGTGTCGGGGACGCATGCGGACGGTGGCACTGGGGCCTTCGGTGGAGCTCCCTATGGGGCCACGACGCGTTTTACTGGGCGGGCGGAAATGCCACATTTGGTGTTTCCGAGACGCACGCGGACGGTCCCACTGGGCGCTTCGATTGGGCTCCCTATGGAGCCACGAAGCGCTGTACTGGGCGTGTGAAGATGCCACATTTCGTGTTTCGGAACGCTTGCGGACAGTCCCACTGGGGCCGTCGGTGGGGTTCCTTAGGGGGCCACGCAGCGCTGTATTGGGTGGGCAAACGTGCCACATTGTGTTTTCGGGACGCATGCGGACGGCGGTTCTGGGGCCTTCGGTGGAGCTCCGTCTGGGGCCACGAGACGCTGTACTGGGTGGGCGAAAATGCCAAATCAGGTGTTTCGGGACGCATGCGGACGGTCCCACTGGTGGTTTCGGTGGAGCTTCCTGTGGGGTCACGAAACGCTGCGCTGGGTGTGCGGGACGCATGCGGCCGGCAGCACTGGGACCTTCGGTGGGGCTCCCTATGGGGCCACGAAACATAGTACTGAATGGGCGAAACGCAGGGAGGAGGGGGAGGAGGACCACGAAACGCTGTATTGGGCGTGCGGGGCGCATGCGGCCGGCAGCACTGGGACCTTCGGTGGGGCTCCCTGTGGGGCCACGAAACGCTGTACTGGGTGTGCGGGACGCATGCGGCCGGCAGCACGGGGACCTTCGGCGGGGTTCCTTATGTGGCCACGAAACGTTGTAGTGGGTGGGTGAAACGCAAGGAAATGGGGGATGAGGGCCACGAAACGCTGTACTGGGTGTGCGGGACGCATGCGGCCGGCAGCACTGGGACCTTCGGTGGAGCTCCCTATGGGGCGACGAAACATGTGTACTGGGTATATGAAACGCAGGGGGGAGGAGGGAGGAGGAGGGAGGAGGGGAGGAGGAGTAGGAGGAGTAGGAGGGAGGACGCGGGGCGCTGTCTCTTCAAAACGAGGACCCAACACCACAGGATCGTTTGGAAAAACCTTCCTAAAACGTTCCTCAGGGAGGTTCCAGGATTCCTGGGACCTTCCAAACAACCTTCTTAAACTCTTCCTCAGGAAGGTTCCAGGATTCCTGGAACCATCACAAAAACCTGCCTAAAACCTTCCTGTGGGAGAATCCAGGAATCCTGGAAGCTTCCAGAAAACCTCCCTAAAACCTTCCTCCGGAAAAACCAGGAGTCGCGGAACCATCCCAAAGAAAACCTTTTCCAAAACCTTCCTCAGGAAAGTATTTGGGATGTTTTGGGGCCAACCCTTCCTAGAACCTTCCTGAGGAAGGTGTTTGGATGGTGTTTGGAAGGTTTTTGGGAGGTTTTTGGGAGATTGGTTGAAAGGTTGTTGGAAGGTTTGGTGGGGAGGTTATTGGAAGGTTTTTTGGAAGGTAGTTGGAAGGTTGTTGGAAGGTGTTTGGAAGGCGTTTGGGATCGATTGGGCGGCTTCGCTAAATGCTGGAAGGTGTTTGGAAGGTGTTTGGGAAGGTTGTTGGAAGGTTTTTGCAAGATGTTTGGAAGGTTGTTTTGAATGTGTTTGGTAGGTTGGTGGGAAACAGAAACTTTGTAAAACCTTCCTACAACCTTCCTCAGGGAGTTTCCGGGATTCCTGGTACCTTCAGAAAAAAAACGTCCTAAGACCTTCCTCCGGAAGATTTCAGGATTCTTGGAACCTTCCGCAAAACCTGTTCTAAAACCTTCCTCAGGAAGGTTCCAGGATTCCTGGAACATTCAAATTATCCGGGCGAAGGACCCAACCATTTGAAGTTTGGGGTGCCGCAAATGTGAATATCTTCTTCGGTGAAGCCCCCTATGGGGCCACGAAGCGCTGCGCTGGGCGGGGGGGAACGCATGCGGGCGGCAGCACTGGGGCCGTCGGTGAAGCTCCCTATGAGGCCACGAAGCGTTGCATTGGGTGGGTGAAAATACCATGATACCGGAGAGAAGCCCCAATCATCATATTTTTGGGGCTGTAGGGCTATGGGGCTATACGGTTATAGGACCATAGGCCTAGGGCTATAGGCCTATAGGAACATAGGGCTACAAGGCTACACGGCAATAGGGCTATAGGCCTATACGGAGGGTTATAGGGCTATCGGGCGATTGGGCTAAAGGGCTATACGGTCTATAGGTATAGAGGGATATGGGGCTATAGAGCTATAGGGCTTTAGGGCGATAGAGCACCCGGGCACCCCGGGGCACCCCTGGGCACCTCCAGGCACCCCCGGGCAACCGGGCACCCGGGCACCCCTGGGCACCCGGGCACCCGGGCACCCCCGGGCACCCGGGCACCCAGACGTGCGGCGAAGATCGGCGGCAATCCAAACCTAACTATATGAATCCGCTAGGACCCCTACAGAGACAAGCTCTGATTGGGGAAACTGAAACGTGTGGAACGCATGCGGGCGGTCCCATTGGGGGCTTCGGTGGAGCTCCCCATGGGGCCGCGAAGCGTTGTAAAGGATGATGAAAATACCAAATCGGGTGTGGGGGACGCGTGCGGGCGGCCCCACTGGGGGCTTCGGTGGGGCTCCCTATGGGGCCACGAAGCGCTGTACTGGGTCGGTGAAAATGCCAAATTGGGTGTGAGGATTCATGCGGGCGGTCCCACTGGAGGCTTCGGTGGAGCTCCCTGTGGGGGACGCATGCGGGCGGTCCCACTGGGGGCTTCCGTGGAGCTCCTTATGGGGCCACGAAGTGCAGTACTGGGTGGGCGAAAATGCCGCCAAATTCGGCATCGTGGACTCACGCGGGCGGTCCCATTGGGGGCTTCGGTGGAGCTCCATATTGGGCCACTCAGCGGTGTATTGGGTGGGTGACAGTGCCAAATCGAGTGCGGGCGACGCATGCGGACGGTCCCACTCGGGGCTTCGGTGGGGCTCCCTACGGGGCCGGGCCACGAAGCGCTGGGGCGGTGCGTGAAAATGCCCAATTGGATGTGGGGGGCGCGTGTGGGCGGTGACGCTGGGGGCTTCGGTGGAGCTCCCTATGGCCCTATGGGGTCACGAAGCGCTGTACTGGGTGGGTGAACATGCCGAATTGGGCGTGGGGGACGCATGCGGCGGTCTTTCTGGGGGCTTCGGTGGAGCTGCCTATGGGGCCCCGAAGCGCTGTACTGGGTGGGTGAAAATGCCAAATCGGGTGTGGGGGACGCATGCGAGCGGTCCCACTGGGGGCTTCGGTGGAGCGGAGCTCCCTATGGGGCCACGAAGCGTGTCAGGGATGTCCGACACGGGTGTGGGGGACGCATGCGGGCGGTGGAGAGGAGGAGGGGGGGGGGAGGAGAAGAGAAAAGGAACGCGGGGACCGTCTCTTCAAAACCAGGACCCAACACCACAGGATGATTGGGAAAGAACCATCCGGAGCCTTCCTCAGGAAGGTTACCGTATTCCTGGATTTTTAATGTAGAATAGTAATAATAGTATTAAGAATAGCAGTAGTAATAATAATAATAGTAATAATAATAATAATAAGAAGAATGATGATGATGATGATGATAAACATATTAATAATAATACCAATAATAATACTAACAATAATAATAATAATACGAATAATAATAATAATATACATATATATATATAAACCTTCCCGTAACCTTCCTCAGGACGGTTGTTGGCAGGTTTTTGGGCCAACCCCTCCTGGAACCTTCCTGAGGAAGGTTTCCGGAAGGTGTTTTAACGTTTGTTTTTGGAAGGCGTTTGGCAGGTGTTTGGAACAACGTTTCTGAAACCTTCGTAAACTTTTCCTCAGGAAGGTTCCAGGATTCTTGGAACCTTCCAAAACACCGTCCTAAAACCTTCCCCCCGAAGGTTTCAGACCGTCCTAAAACCTTCCTCAGGAAGGTTCCAGGATTCCTGGGACCTCCCAGAAAAAAAAATCCTAAAACCTTCGTCAGGAAGATCCGAGGATTCTTGGGACCTCCCAAAAAAAAATTCCGAAAAACTTCCTCAATAAGTTTTTTGGAAGGTGTGTGGGCCAACCCTTCCTAGCTAGAACCTTCCGGAAGAAGGTTTTAGGAAGGCTTTTGGAAGGTTGTTGGAAGGTTTTTGGAAGGTTGTTTGGAAGGTTGTTGGAAGGTTGTTGGAAGTTTTTTTGGAAGGTTGTTGGGAGGTTGTTGGGAGGTTTTTGGAATGTATTTGGCGGTTTCGCTAAAGGCTGGAAGGTTTTAGGAAGGTGTTTGACAGTTTTTTGGAAGGTTATTTGGAAGGTTGTTTTAGAAGGTTGTTGGAAGGTTGTTGGAAAACCCTTCCTAAAACCTTCCTCGCCCCCCCCCCGGGAAAACCTTTCAAAAACCGTCCAACAAATCGTCCTCAGGAAGAATTCAGGAGGGGCTCGTCGGAACTCCCGCACCGGTCTCGTTTTTTTGTGTGTTCGTCTGCGATTACCCACGGGCTCCTCAGCCAGTGCCCCCGCCGTGCAGTGCCCGCGGCGAGCGGAGGCCTCCGACCGCTCCGAAGCGCAGGCGCCGCTCCGCCCACGGGGTCCGATGGGCAGATCTTCCACCACCGCTGCCATGCGGTGGGGGCGTTCGCTAAGGAACGTTCCCAGGAGGCTTCAGACCCTGGAGAGTTCCTTGACTGGTGAGGGCGGCGGTGGTATCCATCGCCAAGCCGCGGTTGAGGCTCCACCTGCCTCCAGCCCCTAGATTCCTCATCTAGCGGTTCCTTATCCAATGCTTTCGCCGTAGGCAGGACAGGAGAGAAGGGAGGATAGGGGAGGTCCTCCTCCTCCTCCTCCTCCTGCTCCTGCTCCTCCTCCTCCTCCTCCACCTCCTCCTGCTCCTCCTCCTCCGACTCCTCCTCCTTCTCCTCCTCCTCCCTGCCTCCCGCAGGCTACTGGCGCTCCTCCCTCCCTCCCTCCCTCCCTCCCTCCCCTCCCTCCACCTATGGTCGCGGTAGTGGACAATCGGCCCGTCAGGGTCGGCCCAGGGGGCGGCGATGCGCGCACCGAGGGTCTGCAGCGGTGGGCCCGGCCCCGCGGCCGCTGGCCACGGCAACTTCGCCCGTTGAGGAGCACGGGGCTGGCGAGCTGTGCGGGTTCTCCCTCGAGTGTCCCTGAGATCCTGGCGCTGCAGTTGTTTCACGACCTCGGAGGCCTAGAGGTTGACGCCAACACCAGCATCGGCGGTGTGCCTCCACCGCGAGGGCAGAGGATCACGGTTTCGGTGATGGTGGTAACATTCGTGCTGCCCAGGTGGCCGAAGTAGCAGCACCAACGCCAAAATCTAGGATCATCTTCCCCTGGTGGAGGCACCCCCCCATTTTGGTGTTGGTGCCCATGTTCAGGCCTCAGACAAAGGCAGTTTCGCCAAATCTCGGGCCCCAGGGACCCTCACAGATCGATCTGGCTCGAACAATGACGCAGAACGATGGTGTCTGGGGCTCCTGGTGCGATTTTACGATGTCGCATTATTCGGCAACGTCGGATCTCAGGGACGACCGTGCAGGGGGTCCTGTGAGCGGGGTCAATGGCTCGACGCCTGGCTGAGGGGGAGGGTGGCGGACAAGCAGCACAGGTCAGCAGCGGGAGCACGAACGGCTTGAGCCGGAGCCCTTCACCCCGCGGACTGGAGCCCCGAGAAAGCCACGCTCAGCTAAAGGGGCCCCTGCAGACCTTCCAGTTTTGAGCCCGGCATGTGATATCATTCGTGGGGAGCCAAGGCGCCTTGGCGCACGAGGCACGGTACAACACGAGCGTTTCTGCTGTCGGGGGCGCCTGCCACAGGGCGGCTGGAAAGCCGACGCCCCTGCGGTGGCACGTCGAGGCACAAGCGTCCCGGCCGACCTGGGGCAGACGCCCCCGATGGCAGAGCAGCTGGTTACACACCGCTGTTCGTCCGCTCAGCGCTGGAGCCGCCACGAATGCAAGTGCTATAGACCGTAGAAGAAAAAACGGCACAAACATAAACTTTTGGCGCTCCGCGCGGATTTATTGGATTCGCGCTGGGGCCCCCCGTCGGCGCCTCTGGCGCCCTCCCTGGCGCGCTTCCCGCGCCAGGGGGAGGGGCCCAGCGCAGATCCAAGAAGTTCGCGCGGAGCGCCAAAACTTTATCTTCGTGCCGCTCTTTTTTTTTTTCTCCCCGTGGAGCAGTGCCAAGGTGCCACTGACGGTGCAATTTTCTGTTGCTGCGAGCGCCTCCCAGCGGCGGCGCGCCGGGCCCCGCCCATCCGCGGCCTTCGCCTCGGGCTGCCTGGCCCGAGGTCTCCTCACAGCCTCGGGGGGGCGTCTGCCGCCGTGGGCGGCAACGGGCTGCGGGCACGAGCGAGGCGCTCCCGGCGTAGGTCTTGACGCCTGGTGTCCCACTCCTGTCAGGGGCGGCGATAGGGGGGGATAGGCATAGGGGGGGGGGGGAATGCATCGACCCCCAATCGCCCATTGGTCGCAGAGAGGGTCCCGATAGCCCCAACCTGCCCAGGAAGGTGCGGATTCCCTGATGGGGGCCCATCGCCGATCTATCGGCGATGTATCGCCGATTCCAGGTCGAGGCATCCCCCCCTGTGCCAGACCCCCGCCAATCATCCTTGCCCACCACCCTGTGTCAACTCAGAGGAGGGCCGTTCGAGACGCTGGCAGTTGGCCCTCGGGGGGAGGAGCCCTCGTCGCCACGGCGGGGCGCGGCACGCGGAGAAGCTGGTGCGTGTGGATCCCGGGAGCGGTCCGGTGATCAGTCTTGACCTCCCGGTGTCTCAAGGCGCCCTGCTCCGAGCAACGGCACGCGAACTCCAGGCACTGTCTGCTTGACGCACCGAAGCGAGGCAGGAGAAAGCATCGCACGCCAGCGCTGCTGCGTGATGCGATCGTTCGATTCCGCGCCGCTGCAGTCAACCCGCACAGTGAGGATGAGCAATTTTTCAAGGTCAATTACCCTTGCATCCTTACCCTACGGGCCATCCTTGGCCGCCTTCGCTGGCCGCGCCCCGCTCGAAAAGTGTCGACATGGCCTTTCAAGGCCCGTGCGTCCCTATCGCGCGTCCTTGTTATGCGAGGTGAATGTATTGACGTTGCTGATGATTGATGGTGATCACGGCGCCAAGACGGCCCCCATGGGGGCCCTCAACAAGGCCCAGTAGATCGCCAAAATGACACATCCGCAAGATCGCCAGAAGACGGCCCTGTATACCCCTACGACGACCCCAAGATAGTTCCAGATCGCTTAAGACGGCCCAGACCCAAGAGGCCCCGGAGATGCGCCCCGAGAGCGGCCCGAGCGAGCCGTCAGAGGGCACCGAAGAGGCACAAGTCACTGACGCTCTATAGGTTCCCGAAAGGATTCAACATGTCCGCGGTTCTCGAAGAAGAAACAACGCCATAAACATAAACTGTTGGCTCTCGGGGGGGCCCAGCGCGGAGCCAAGAAATCCGCGCGGAGCGCCAAACGTTTATGTTTATAGCGTTGTTTTTTCTTGTATGTTCGGTCCTCAGAGCGACCAATACGGCCCAGTGAGCCTATAATGTTTCCCGAAGATGTCCTCATAGCCCCCCAAACTGAAGGAGCGCTGTTGCCCACGATATCCCGGGCTGCGAACGACTCCCCAAAGAGGCACCCATACCCAGGGACCGAGGGAGCGCATTCTCCTTGCGGGGGCGCCCTAAGCTCAGTGCGAGCTCTTGGGCACGCTGTGCAGATTCTTGTAAAGAGCCGTCGTGTAATCTGATTTCACAGATGGTGCATCCACCGGACAGTATATTGAAACGAATTGCACTTACCCCAGTTGAGGTGGATTGAATTGAACTGGGGAGATGTGAATGTCACTCGTGAGCGCTGTGTCATCGGGAGACTTGTCAGTATCACTACAACATGGACAGATCGAACCCCAACCAGTATTCTGCCGTGTCAGCCCCCATTCGAAAAAGATGTAAAGAAGGCGGCGGCTGCAGAGCCGCACATCTGAATCCTTCTGTGCGTGCTGGCTCCCAGCTGCAGTTGCTCGGTGCTCCTCCTTTTTAGTTCCCATCGCACCGGGCCGCGCCGTTCTCTCCTACTGGTCTTCGTACGGGATTCAACCTGCTCCTGCTTTCCCATCGACCCCCCCGTCCTCCAGTTCATCCCACCCCCTCGGAAGCAGCCATTGGCTCAAACGGGATGATTCCCGGAGGCTGCGGTCGGCAACTGTGCGGGCATGGCCGTCTGGACAGCCGTACTGGGCCTCCTTAGCGTTGCTGGCTGGGGCCTGGGCAAGCTGTGCGGGGTCCTCGCTCACCGAGGGGGCTATGCAACGGCTGCAGAGGTGGGCTGCGGGCTGGGCCTGCTGTGGAAGTTCCTGGGCACCCTCCTCTACCCGGTCCTGAAGTCGTACCTGTCTCGCAGCCCGTCGCTCGGCTTCATCCACCTGGTGACGGTGCGGCGGACCGAGCTCGAGAGGTCTGCTCTTGACAAGATAGAGTCAGACAGGAAATCATGGAAGCACCTGTTCGTCTTGGATTTGAATGTATGTCGGCGAGTTGCGCCCCTAACCGCTCAACAGCGCCGAATGGCCCCCAAGCGTCCAGTAGCGCCGAACAGCGCTCACACAGTGCCCACCAAGAAACCCTCGCAAGAAACCCGGCCCTGAAGCCCGCAGGCGCCGATGCAAGTGGGGGTGGGGGGGGCCCAGGGCACCATGAACGCAGCAGTTCCTTCGACGGCCACGGGAACACACACCGCGCAGCGCGCGGAGCGAAGAAACCCAGGGTACCCTTCCGAAAAGCAGTCAGTTTCTTGATGCGCGCCCCCACTGTATGTCCGTTCTGCGCGCGACTGGGCGCGCTTCGGGGCGCAAGGGGGGCGACCAAACGTTTCCGTGATTTGCTGCCTGAGACAGACGGCGCCCTCCGCTCCAGCTTGCCGCTCCGCGTGGCCCGGGTCCACACCACCTGGCTGCAGCTCGCGGTCGGCCCGCTGGCCGGGCTCCGGCTCCGCGCCGGGGGCCTGCGGGTGGAGCTGGACACCAGGCAGCTGCAAGCAACCTTCGGCGGCGAGCGATGGGGGGAAATTAGAAGGAGAAGGCCTTCTCAGAGGGCGGCAGGACTTCTCAGACGTCCTCGCACCTTCTGAGAAGTTGTGTTTCCTGTCTCTGGGGAAAGCTTAGGAACTCTCAGAAGGCCGGGGGACTTCGAGCCTTCTGAAAAGCCCTTCTCCTTCTCATTTCCCCCCTCGCCCGCCGCCGACTTCGCCTCGGAGCGGGCTGGGGGTCTGGGGGTGGCCCAGCACTGGTTCGGGCCAGCAGGAAGGTTCGAGGTTCTGGGTTCGAAAGGCCTTTTTGCCCCTTTCGGTCTCCGGGGGCTGTGTTCGGCCCCGGTACCGTCAAAGATGGACCAGGTCACAGGTGCCAGGTGGACCCTGGGAGAGGTCCGGGGACCGATTTCGAATGTATTTGCCCGTATCCCCGCACTTTTCACCGATCGCTTCGGAGCCCATCCACTTCTGACCCCCCCGCCGCCTCCGACCTCCCACCCCTCCTCTTCCGCTGGTTCCGTCGGCGAGGCATGGGCTGTGCTTTCCTCAGGGGGTCCCAGAGTCTCGGCCCGAACAAAAGGGGGGGATAGGGAAAGGCGGGGTACGAAATCTGCTGCATGCAGCTGGTTTCGGCCCCGCCGCCCGGGCCCATTCCTCGCTACATAGGCGCCTCCCGGCGCCGGGAGGCGCTGGGAAAATCAGCTGCGTGCTCCGATTCTCTACCCTACCCTTTGCTATCCCCCTTTTCCGTTCCTCACCACCCACCAAACCACCCCAACCCAACCCGAAGGCCCAAATTTGCCCTCTATTTCAAGTGGGGGGAGGGTCGGGGAGCGTCGAAAAAACACGTATGGAACCCTTACCCCCCCCCAACCCGAGATTCGGGCCTTCGGGTTGGGTTGGGGTGGTCTGGTAGGTAGTCCGTTCCCCCCGAGGAGGAGGAGGAGGAGGAGGGGGAGGAGGAGGAGGAGGAGGAGGAGGGGGAGGAGGAGGCGGAGGAGGAGGAAGAGGAGGAGGAGGAGGAGGAGGAAGAGGAGGCCCCTTTTCCGTTCCCCCCGAGAGTCCTGCGTTCAGTATCGGGCGCCCCGCGTCTGCCTATCCGTGGCGGGGTCGGCGGAGGTCGTGGGGCATCCCTGGCGCGCCGTGGGGTCGAGGAGCGAAGGGGCGCTCGCCCGGGCGCCCAGCTCTGCGTGGGGCTGGCCGCGCAGCGCCGCCTCCTGTCCTCGGCCGGTGGTCCCTGCAGAGGAGGAGGAGGAGGAGGAGGAGGAGGAGGAGGAGGAGGAGGAGGTGAAGGAGGATGAGGAGGAGGAGGCGAGAGGAGGATGAGGAGGAGGAGGCGAGAGGAGGAGGAGGATGAGGAGGAGGAGGAGGAGGAGGAGGAGGAGGAGCCTAGAAACACCCTGCTTGCCTCCAGGGTGCCCTGGGTTTCTTGGACGTCGATGGCTTTGCTATGGAAAGCGTGACGTTCACACACCAAACAAATCTATGGACGCCTTGGGGTCTCAGGGTTGGGTTTCTTGGGGCAGGTTTCTCGTGGAGTGGCCTCCACTGTATCGTGATAGATCGAACAAGCCGCTGGACAGGTCCCACTGGAGCCAGGGGGAACTCCAGCGAGGACGGCACCGTCCAGGGGTCGGTGGCGCTTTGTCCATGTGCTCCGCAGGAGTGGGCTCCCCGGGAGGCGTGGGAGGCCGCAGCGCAGGACATCCGCGACGCAGAGCTGAACAGCTCCCGGGCCTTGGCGCAGGCGGGCATCGGCGTCGTGGAGAAGATCGGCGGCGAGCGAGGGGGGAGTGAGAAGGAGAAGGCCTTCTCAGAAGGTTTGGAAGTCCCGCGGCCTTCTGAGAGGGTTGTTTAAGCCTTCCCCGAAGACAGACAAAAACTTCTCAGAAGGCGCGAGGGCTTCTGAGAAGTCCCGCCGCTTTCTGAGAAGGCCGTCTCCTTCTCACGTCCCCTCCTCGCTCGCCGCCGAGAAGAGCCTGGCCGGCAAGGGGCCGCTCCCATCGGTTGTGGCGTGCATCGTCGAGTCTTTCATCCGCAGGGTCCGGGTTTCGGTGGACGACGTCGAGATCGTCATCCGCGGGCAGAAGGTCCCCGAGATCAGGGTCGCCGCGTCCGTGGACCTTCGGACGACGCACTGCCGCGTCATTGAGCGGATCCCCGCACACACGGGTCAGATTCGACCCCCCCCCCCATGACCCATCTCGATTTAAGTCTGGATCCTTCTACAGGAGGAATATTCAGAAATAGTCAAACAATAGTCTGGGGACGATGTTTTGACCATGTTTGCCAAGTGTTCCACATGTTCCGGTTATTTTTTATTTTTTCATCCAAGAACTTCTTGTATAGGGGACATGCCCGACCTAAATCTCGATTCGACCGATCCGACGATTCTCAAGACGAGTTTGGCCAGGCCGATCTCCGATTCGATTCCGACGTCCCAGCGGTCCGATGCGGCCATGTGTTTTCATGGGGCTGCTCTGGATCCTGGCGAAGCCGATAGCCGATTCCGATACGGCCTAACCCGACGCACGTTCCGATTCGATTCGATGTCCCCGTTGTTCGAGTAGGGAAGACTACAGCATTGATTTGTCCCGAACTTGATTTCCTCGTCGAATGTATAAGAATATACCTAGCACGTTCGTGGATCTGCGGACATTCTGCCGAATGTTCGTCGATTCGACGAGAATTCCAATTTTGGGGTAATCCAATTCTGTGGCCGATGTCCTACTCGAGTTGTCGATGCCCACCGGTTCTGCCCTCCCCCGCCCACCCCGCCCTCGCCACCCCTGGCAGAGGAGCGAACAGAGGCAGGGAAGGGCTGACCATGGCCGAGCATAAAGCAGAAACTGCTGGAGGTCCGCGCGGACCTCGGGTAACACACATATATATATATATATATAGATGTATGTAGGTCTGTATATGTGTGTACGTGTATGTGTGTGCGTGTATGTATGTATGCATGTGTGTATGTACATGTGTGTACGTGCGTACGTATGTATGTGTGTATGCCGATGTGCATGCATATATATATATACACATATACATATATTTGTGTGTATGGATTTATGTATTTGTATACGTGTGTATGTGTGTACATATGCGTGTGTGTGTGTATGTAAATGTGTATGTGTATATGCATGCAGGAATGTGTGTATGTGTATGTAGGTATGCATTTAAGTATGTATGTATGGGTGTATGCGTGTATGTATGTATGTATGTATGGGTGGATGCGTGCATGCCGACATGTATATGTGTGTCTGTCTGTATGTCGGTGTGGATGTATGTATGAGTGTACCTATGTATGTATGTATTCGCGTGTAGGTATGTAGTATGTGTATATATATGGCTATCGATATGTATGTATGTATGTGTGTATGTGTGCGTATGGGTGTGTGTGTGTGCATGCGTTCATGCCTGTATGTATGTAGTATGCATGTTTGTGTGTCTGGATGTGTGCAGGTATGCGTATTCGTATGCAAGTACGAAGGCACGCATGCGTTCATGTATGCATGTATGTATGGGTGTGTATGTGTGTGGGTGTCTGTATGTGTGTATGTACGCATGTGTTTATGTGTGTATGCAAATCTGGATGCATGATTGTCAAGTTGTGTACGTATGCACGTATGTGTGTCTCTATGTATGTGCATGTATGGATGTATGCATGTGTGTATGTATGTGTCTATGAATACATGTATGCATGTGTGCATGTGTCTGTGAGTATGTATGTATGTATGTGTGTATGTACGTGCGTGCATGTACGTATGTATTCGTTGCTGCATGTATGTGCACGTGTATGTATGTATGTCTGTGTGTACGTGCGTATGTATGTATGCGTGTATGTATGTGCGTTTGTATGTTTGGACCGATGTATGTATGTGAATATGTATGTATGTAGGTGCTTATGAGTGCATGTGTATATGCATGCATGCATACACATGCGTATGTACGGTTGTGCGTGTGTATGTACGTATGTATGCGTGTAGTGTGTGTGTGTGTATACGTATGTACGCATGTATGCATGCATGTGTGGATGTATGCATGCATGTGTATGTATGTGCGTGACTGTACGACTGTATAGGTCTATGTATGTAGGTTCGGGTGTATATGTTCGTGCATGTATGGATGCATGCATACATGCATGTATGGATGCATTCGTGTCTGTATGCGTGCGTGTACGTGTGTATTTGTTTATGTATGTATGTGTGTATGTATGTGTGTACGTAAGAATGTAGGTGCGTTTAGTCATGTACTGTTTCATGCATACATGTATGCATGTATGTGTATATGTTCTTGTGTGTATGTGTATGCATGTATACGTGTATGTATGTGTGTCGTTATGTATGTGTGCAAGTGTGTGTATGTATGTAGGCATGCGCATGCATGCATACATGACATGGATGTATGACTGGGGCTAAGTATGCACGGATACATGTGTGTATGTGTATGTTGACATATCCATGCAAGTGGTTAGGTCTGTATGTATGCATGTTTGCATGGTTGCATGCATGTGTATGGGCGTACCTTCTCCTACAGTCAGTGATGCATGGTGTATGCATGTATGTATGTACGTGTGCCTGTATGTATGTATGTGCGTACGTGTGTTCATGCATGTCTGCATGCATGTATGCATGCATGAATGAATGCCTGTATGTATGTATGCATGCGTACCTGTGTGTATGTGTGTACAAGGGTATGTACGTATGTATGTATGGAATCGTTTATGCATGTACGTGTGTGCGGATATATGTATGTACACATGCATGTGTGCATGTATGTATACATGTTTGTACGTCTGTATGTCTGCGTGTGCGTCGAAGGGTGCCTGCAGACAGGCATGCATGTATGTGTGTACGTATGTATGTCTGGTCGTGTGTGCCTGGATGGGTGTACGTTTTTATGTATGTATGTATGAATAGATTGAGGCATGGATTCAATAATGGTTGCATGCCTGTATGTATGTATGTGTATGTATGCATGTATGTGGATGCATGCGTGTATGTATGTATGTGTATGCATGCAAATATGCATGTACGTATGTATGTATCGATTTACGTATACGCAGGTGTGTATGTATGGAGCTATGTTTGAATGTGTGTGCGCATGTGCGTATGAATGAATGTGTGCATGTAAACATCTGTGTACAAATATGGATGCATGTATATACATATTGGTGTGCATGGATGTATGTATGTACGAATGTATGACTGCATGTGCGTATGTACGTGTTGATGCATGTATGCATGTATGTGTGTATGTATGAATTTGTAGATATGTATGTAGGTATGGACGTATATGTCTGTGTATGGACCTGCACGTATGTAGGCTTGCGTGCATGATTGTGTGTAGTCATGTGTGTATGTATGTAGGCGTGTATGTATGTACATATGTATGGATTCATGGGTGGATGCATCTATGTCTGTCTGCATATATGCATATCTGTATGTATCTATTGACGGGTGTGTATGTGTGTATGTATGGATGTGTGCACGTTTGTGTGTATGTATGTGTATGCATGTGTGGATGCATGGATGCATGCATGTTTGTATGTATGTGTGCGTGTGTGTGTCTGTGCGTAAGTCTGATTGCATGTCTGGCTCTGGCTGCATGTGTGTACGTATGAATGTGTATGTATGTATCCTGTGTGTACGCGTGTCGGCATGTATGTCTGCATGTGTGTGCGCCTGGTTGTTCGTATCTATGTGATTATGTATGCACCCATGTATGCAAGGATATATGCATGGATGCATGTTTGGATCTATGCATGTGTGTATGTATGTATGTGTGTATGGATGCATGTATGTGTATGCGTGTATGCATACATGCATTATACGCATGTATGTATGTGTGCATGGATGTGTGTAATTATGGAGGTAGGTAGTTGGGTAGGCTGGTGTGTATGTATGTATATATATATATGTATGAAGGTGTTGATTAATGTATGTGGTTGCATCAATGTACATACTCATGTATGCATGTACGAATGGATGTAATTCTGCATGTCTATATACATGTATTGTGTATGTATGTATGGATGGATGTATGTCTGTATGTATGTATGGATGGTTGTATGCATTTATGTATGTATGTATGTACGTACGTAAGTATGTATGTATGCATGTATGTATGTATGCATGTATGTGTGCAGTCGCATGTGTAGATTGAAATCTGCATCATTTCAACCAAGATTATGTAAACCAACACGCAGTCGCTTCTTCTCCTTATGTCAGCCTCCCTGCTGCCACGGCCTGCCGCGAGGAGGGGTGCGGCGGCGCGGGCGCGGCTGCGGCTGAGCGCGTCGGTGGGTGGCGGGGCCCTGCTGCCTGGGCTGGAGGTCGAGCTTCAGCGGCTGGAGCTGCCCCGCGTGCTGCAGACGCTGCTGGCGCTCCGCCTCGGAGGAGGGCAGACGTGCCCATACCACTACCCTTCCCTCGTGCTTCCCTCTTTGGGCCTCCTGGGAGGCGGCCCTCGTTGCCACCGCCCGATTCGCCTCGAGATCCTGGTCGGAACGAGTCCTGGGAGAGGTCCTGGGAGCAGCGGCATGGGTACTTCTTGCTTTCCCCACAGCCGAGGCCAACATTCACCGAGCGCGTTCCGCTGCTCGCAACGTGCCCACTCGCAGACGTCCGACAAAAAAACGTACCTCCCTCTATGCAGTGGATCGTAGATCCCCCGCGGCGGATGCGGGCCATTTGCGAGTAGTTACTTCGCGAGTAGTGGAAACGCGCTCTTCTAAACATGCGCGACGTAGGACAGAGGGGTCGTGTTCACCGACATTTGCGCGCAAGCTTTCCGCGCAAGTTTGCGCGCAGGCGCCCTTGCTCCCAATGTGACGTGCCTCACTGGTGGCCCCAGCAAGCCGCGGCGCGAGGTCGCTACAATGGAGACCCGTGCCAAGAAACACCCGGCCTGCCTCCAGGGTGCCCTGGGTTTCTTGGGTTTCGAGGGTTCTGCGGTGGAAGAAAAGACGCTCCCACACCAAAAATCCATGAACCTCCTGGGGTCTCAGGCTTGGGTTTCTTGTGGAAGGTTTCTTGTGGAGTGGCCCCTGCTGTGGTCCAGGGTTTGGGTTCGGGGTCCTGGAGGCCTCCGAGAGGCCCCCCGCCCTCGTTGCAGAAGGCGCGGGGAGCACCCTGCTTGAGAAGTCAGGAGACACACAGACACAATTCATCGTCGACTCAGGACAATATGGGAAAATATAGGGAATTGGGGGGAAGACGAAAACCTATCAAGTATGGGAAACTATAAGGAAGCTCGGGATTTGTGTGTATTCATTTGTGTGTCCCAGGGCCCCCCTAAGAAGGCCGCCCCTCCCCTAAGAGGAAATCAGATCTCAAAATCCTGGCCCACCTGGTCGCCGCCCAGGCGCCCAAGCCCCTTCCGGCGAAGAAGGTGAGCGCCGAGCTGCTCGTCAAGCGCATCGAGCTGGAGGTTCGGCCCCACGTAGTCAGCGCGCTGATGCAGGTCTCCCACATATTCTCGCAATTCTCGGAGTGGAGGGAGGCGATGGCGGAGGAGGTCCGTGGCACAGCTCTGCCCCTGAAGCCGGGCGAGAAGGAGGAGTACGAGAAGGCCCTCTCAGGCGAGCGGGGTGGGGGGAGCGGGAGCGGGAGGAGATTACGCGGGGGCCTTTTCGGGCGAGAGGGGCAGGGGGAGGAGCTTACAAGTTTTAGCCCTGACCCCCCAGCGTCCCTGGAGGCTTCCAGTCGCTCCCTTGGTCCCGACATGCGCAGCAGCAGCAGCAGCACCGTCTGTTGTATGAAGACGATTCGCCCTTCGTCGCTCGCGTGCAACTCCGACATGTACACCCCGAGCCCTCGACGCCCGCCTTTTCCGTCTTTATAGAACGTGCCCGTTGGGGGGGGGGCGTCGTCCTGTCCATCCTGCCAGCTCCTGGGCAGGCCCCGACAGGAACACACACACAACCGGGTCGGGCGGGCGGACTCCCACGGGCAGGACGGGCGGGCGACCCTGACGGGCGGGTCGGCCGCAGCGGTCCCTGACGGCGGGACGGGGCGGGCGGGGCATCAGGGCGGGCGGGCGGGCTTCCAAGCAGAGGAGCTGGCGGACCTTACCACGCAGGGCGGGCGGGCGGGACATTGCAGCGGGCGGGCCGGGGGTCCGGAAGGGCGGAACTTGGCGGTCGGACCCCAACGGGCGGGGGTCGGGCTGGCGGACCCAATCGGGCAAGTCGGGCAAGTGGGGCATCAGAGCGCGATGCGTTGATGAATGTCAGAGAAGTGTCGGGCGCGAGCGCGCTTTTCCTGAGTAAGTTGTGAGGAAGTCATGGGCGAGATAGCCATGCCTGAGCGGCGAGAGCACAATCCTAGATGACATAGAAATGAAGTCCCAAGCGAGAGCGCGATTCCTGAGCAGCAACAGCGCGATTCCTGAATAACTTCGCAGGAAGTCCCAGCTGAGAGTGCGATTCTGGAGGACATGGCGAGGAATTCCCGAGCGAGTGCGTGTTTCTTTAATGCATTGCTCAGAGAACTAGGCAGGGGCACGAAATCGCAGTTCTGAGCCCACACGATTTCTTCTATGAGAAATGAGGTGCGAGCGTCGAGCGCCCTCTGCGTGCTTCCTGGGCGCGTCCGGGAGCCTCATCTCCGAGGGGCCTCTTGGGGGCCTCGCGTTGGCAGTCTTACGGCGTTCCTGGCCCGTCTGACGCCGTCTGAAGCTGCCTTGGGAGCCTCTCTGGGCCATCTCGGGGCCCTCCTGGGGCGCTTCAGGGTCGCACTGACGGCCATCTTGGGCGTCTTGGAGGCCTCTTGGGTCGTCCTGGAGCCTTTGGGGAGCCGTCTTGGGGACCTCTCGAGCCGTCCTGAAGCCAGCGTGGAGGCTTCTTGGGCGATCTTGGGACAATCTTGGGGGCCGTCTTTGGCCGTCGGGAAGCCGGCTGGAAGCAAATGCCAAAGTCCGTTGAACAAGTTCCAACAATCAGAAGCGTAATTACGGAAAACGCTGGGGAATATGCTAAAAAGTGATGGCCCGTCGCCACGCTCGAGGATCCGTCATCGAGGGCCGAGGTTGTCGGCATTCATTGCGTTTGTTTGCCCGCAGCGGGCCTGGAGACCTCTGGAGATCTCAGGGGGGCCCCGGGGGACCCCCGCGGTGACCCTTGGAAGTGGCCCAGGATCGAGCCCACCTCGGCGGCCGGACGATCGAGCCCACTCGGCCGCCCACTCGGGCCTCCAGGCCGGCAGGACGTCTCCGGCTGGGAGCAGCGGATGAGCGCCCAGGAGATCTTGTGCAGCCACTGCGAGGCGAAGCGCTGGCCCGTGCCCGAGGACTTCTCCTTCCTCTCTGCTCTGTCCTGTGGCCTCGTCCCCCCTCCTCTTCCCACTTCTCCCCGAGGTCCTCCTCTCGGCCCTCCTTCGCCCTCCTGCCGCGTGTGGCGCGCGCACATCGCCAAGCCCCGCGGCGAATAGCAGATTCCTCCCGCCTCCCTCCCCCCGCCTGCATACTTCACCCATCCTTCCCTCACCCTCAGCACACATCCTCCACCATCTCCCCTCTATCTTGATAGTCCGTCGTGTCTTCTCCTCCTGCTATTCTGTCTCACCCTGCCAGATGTTTTCTCCTCCCCCTCTGTTTCCAGCTCCGTCCCGTAGTATAATCCCAAGCTTATATTCGAGTCCTTCACAATCCTTTAGAACATCCTACGCGCTAGAAGTACCCCTTTCCTCCTCCTCCTTCTGCTCCTCTTCTCGTCCTTCTTTCCTCCTTCTCAACCTCCCGTTGTCTCCGCACCCCCGTTCCTCATCCCTCCTTTGTCGTCTGCCCCTTTCTTCTTCCTCCTCCCGCTTCTCTCGTTCTCCTCCCCCTCTTTCCCTCTCCTCCTCCTTCTCCTCGTCCTCGTACTCCTCCTCCTCCTCTTCCTCCTCCTCCTCGTCCATGCATTCCTCCTCCTCCTCTTCCTCCTCTTCCTTTCGTGCCCTCCTCTTCCC